TGTGTTAGGGGGCTATGGTAGAGGAACCAAAGTTTGAGAAGTAGGGAACACCTCAAAATTTTATAGTCTATAAGGGTGTATATTAGAGGAGGTATGTAGATACTTCTAAAGTAGTTTATATTTTCCTGTTTATTAACCCAAGGAGAATGAAACATTGGCTTTCTCACTTAGCACTAATGATTGTCAAATGGTGTTTCTGCTGATATGATCACCTGAATGGGGCACTTACCACAAGTATCTATAGAATAAATACATCTGTGGGCAAGAGATAGATGTGGCCAGAACTCTAAAATTTGATCATGGTGTATCCATAGCATTTCAGATGACTGTTTTGATTCTTTTTCTTCAAAGTTTGTTCAACATGAAGTAATGCTATTTTGTTTAGGTTTTCCTAGTAATAAATATTTTAGACTTTTGCTAGTTCTTTGTTATTAAAGCTTTATTAGATGCTCATTTGTAAGAGTATGTAATCTAATTCTTAATCATAAAGATAATTTTGCTCTTTCAGTCTGTCTAAGCAGTTTTTACTCTTAAAACACTCAGCAACTCTGACAGCTTCCTAGTTTCCTGATGTTTCATAGATGCTTTCTGAGTTCCAGGTCGTATTCTCAGTATCCTCATTGAATCCTCACTACTCTGTAAGGTAGGAACTACTTTCCCTAACCCACACTGGAGACAGCTGAGACATGGTGATGTTCACTAACAGTCTCTCTCAGCTCATGGCTAAGGGGAGTGGCAGAGCTGGAATTGGAATCAGGTGGTGTTTTCAGTGTGCATACTGTTTGCCCTCTGCCTCTCAAGGTAGATCGACAAGTGATTGCTGAATGCTTCTTTGTCTGGAAAGATTTGGGTGTGATGGTCCTTAGCCTGGCTGAAATAAGTCCATACCTTTGTACTTTTGAATTGTGTGTTTCTTTGCCCTAAAGTAGAGTTAAGAAAACTTAAGCACCATCACGTATTTCCTTTAGGTCTTAATATGGGTGTCTTCTGCCACAGTTGCAGTCTTGGGTTTGCTACTGACCACGTGATCTTGGACAAGCTATTTAACCTGGCTTTTGAGTGTTTCTGCTGTAAAAGAAATTTTCTGTATTCCCTCCTAGCTCACTAAACTCTTGAGTTTGTACCAAGATTAAAGGTTGCTACTAACTTCCTTGTTCAGTCATCTAGAACCTATTGTTCCAAAGGAAAAAAGAAAGTCAGAGGGCTAGGGATGTAACTTAACATGTGTGAGTGCCTGGCTTAGATTCCTAGCACTGCCACAAAAAAGGAAGGAAACAAAGTAGAGATGGTAAATGTTCTCTTGTGCTGGTATTTTTGGTATTTTTGGATCCAGAAATTTATACCAGGGTACTAGTTTTGCCATCCTAAAGTGTATATATTGTGTGCTCAATTTTAAGGACTGGGACTATTCCCAGAAGGCCTGTGCTGGTCACCAGCAAAAGGGAACACTCAAGGATTGAGCACTAAAAAAATCTCATAAAAATGCTTCCTCCATGCACTCTTTGGAACAGGTAATTACTGTGACAATAAACTAATTGGAAGTGTTAGCTGTTAATTAAAACATTACAGAGGTGTATAGTTGTCTTTTGGTGTAACCAGAGCCTCTAGTCAAACTTCATTAATCACTTTACAGTTATGTGTTGAGGAAGGTCAAGACAATTGAGATGCACTATCCAGTTGAGATTCAGGATCCCTTGAAAGTAAACAAATTCCTTTTCTGCAGGTAGAATGCAGTTTGTAAAGTTAAGGGACATTCTTGACTCATGCCTGGCATTGCGTTTGTCATAAACTTCTCCTTGATGATTAAATGTTAAATTGGTACTGTCATTGTACTGTAAACCAAGCCACACAGCATCTTTATTGCTCGAAATCGAACCCAAACTTCCATGGATGAATTAGCATGCATCATAATTAAATCATCGAGTCCCTCCTTTTAATTCGCTTAGAAATAGGAGACCTTTCTTTTGGAAAAGAGATTGGCTTTCTTGACAAGCTAATTAAGTTGCCAAACTGTCCAGTATGGGATATATATTAGACTATCTGCTAATCGCTTCCTAACCGCTGCAGCTGGTCTCAGAAGTCCAGGTTTTGCTTATTATTCAAAGTAACAACACTGCTCTTTTTGCAACTTTCAGATCCTTGTGTATGCTTTTGACTATTTGTCTTCCTATTTCATTCCTTGGCTAGTGACTCTAATACACAGTATTTTAAAAAATTGAAGTTGAAAGAATCTGTGGTATAAAGGAAAAAATGTGTTATTAAATCTTATAACTAAGTTTCTCAAAACATATTTCAAATTAGTACAACAACTTTTCTGTAGGCTTTGAGAAAAGTATGGTATAAATCTTTACACATAAGTGTATTACATCAATTTGAATGTATCATAAATCAAATTGTTACCTGAAATGTAGCTTTGCCTTATAAAAAGTCTGATATTTACATAGATAGTAAATAGTAATTTATTTTAAAACCAGTATAATGCAGAGTCCATTTATAAAATGTGTATCATTTTATACAAAGTATGAGAAAATATTAAATTGATTGAAGTGTTATAAATAATATTTACATACACTCAAGAAAGTTGTTTGACTTTAGACATTTTATAGATAAAAGAATTCTTTCATAAAGTGAACAATTATCACCTAATTTTTATAATTTTTGCCTTTCCTTTAAATAAGTTGCACCTGGATTTCTGTGCAATTTATTAATATAATAAAAACTAAGTTTACCTTCCACAATTGGCTTAACCTTTGTCTACTCAAGTAGGAAAAGCAGAATAAGTTCCTTTTTTTTTTTTTTTTTTTTTGCGGTACTAGAGCTAGAACTCAGGGCCTTCACCTTGAGCCACTCCAGCAGCCCTATTTTCATGAAGTATTTTTCGAGATAGGGCTTGGAACTATTTTCCTGGGCTGGCTTCCAACTGTAATCCTCCTGATCTCTGCCTCCTGAGTAGCTAGGATTACAGGTGTGTAACATACACACACACACAGATGCTTCCCTAGTTTTGCCTGTGAGCTTTTAATAACTGCATCATTTCTGCAAATCAGTCACTCTTAAAACATTTATTAGTGTTTGCTGAACTCTATAAATTTAATAAAAGTAATTTAATCATACCCTTAAAACAAATGAATTTTATCACACATCAATTATTCTTCGGGAAACCATTTTTAAAAATTTGACAGAGCAAGCAAACAAATATTTTTTGCCAAAACAGCAGAAAGTAATGTTTCCATTTTGGTGATAGTGAAATATATATTGAATTTTTATTTTTGTTTTAAAAAATGAGCAATTTTGGGTCCTGGTAAGTATATTTTGAAACTAGGCAAGTGAGGACAAGGATTTCCTAAGGTGCTTGCTTCTGTTTCCTCCCATCTCTACCCCATTCCCATCTTACTACTTGCAGGTTTAAAGGAAGAGTAATCTGATCTTAGTTGATGTGTTCAATCCTCTACAAAGCAAATTTATTTCTTCCAAACTAATTTGCTTCTTTGTACTTTTGTGGGCTCATATTTACACTGCTTGTTTATGTTACGTGGTTTGTTTTGATTTTTTTAAAATATAAGTCAGACTATATAGTTCCCAGAGTATATGTGTAAAAGGCCACATTTCATTTAAACAGTTTTTGTTTTTTTTTTAATTCATATATGCATACAATGTTTGGGTCATTTCTCCCCTCTTCTCCCACCCCCTCCCTTACCCCCCCCATACCCGGCAGAAAGTATTTTGCCCTTAACTCTTAATTTTGTTGAAGAGAGAGTATAAGCAATAATAGGAAAGACCAAGGGTTTTTGCTAGTTGAGATAAGGATAGCTATACAGGGAGTTGACTCGCATTGATTTCCTGTGCATGTGTGTTACCTTCTAGGTTAATTCTTCTTGATCTAACCTTTCTCTAGTTCCTGGTCCCTTCTCCTATTGGCCTCAGTTGCTTTAAAGTATCTGCTTAGTTTCTCTGAGTTGAGGGAAAAATGCTAGCTAGTTTTTTAGGTGTCTTACCTATCCTCATATCTCCCTTATGTGCACTTGCTTTTATCATATGATCAAAGTCCAATCCCTTGTTGTGTTTGCCTGGATCTAATGTCCGCATATGAGGAGAACATACAAATTTGGTCTTTTGGGCAGGCTAACCTCACTCAGAATGATGTTCTCCAATTCATCATTACCAGCGAATGATAACATTCCGTTCTTCTCATGGCTGCATAAATTCCATTGTGTATAGATACCACATTTTTAATCATTCGTCAGTGGTGGGCATCTTGGCGTTTCCTAACTTGTATTGTGATAGTGTGCAACCAGCCCTGTTTTTGTGTGTTGGTTATTTTTGAGATAGGGTCTCATGAACTCTTTGCCTGGGCTGGCTTTGAACTGTGATTCTCCTGATCTCTGCCTCCTGAATCTAAGACTATAGGCATGAGCCACTGATGCCCAACTGTTTTGTGATAATTTTTATGAAACATAGGGGTATAGTTTATCTGTATACATAATTGAAAGAAATACAAGCAAAAGAAAGCCCCTATTTTACACACCTCTGTACAGTGCTTAGTAGGGGACTATTCAGGACCCCTATATACACACACAACACAATGATGGCAATAAGGGATCTAGAACCAGATAACATGAGTTTGAGGTCCAGTTCTGCTACTATATACCTTTCACAAATGGCAAATCGCACTTAACTTCTCTATGCTTTAGAGTCCTCATCTATTAAAGGAAGATAATAGAATTACCTTGGAGGGTTATTTTAAGATAATATGTATACTCTGGTTTCTCTTCAGATCATATAAATCTTTCGCCTTTTTTAAGATAATATGTAATGAATCACTTTGTTGACCATTAAGCTCCATAGAAATGTATATTACCATCATGATTAGTTTTCTTTGAAAGAACTTGTATGTATCCCATTGCTGCAGAAATGTTTGGATTGATATTTATGTCCTTAACCATTTTATAGGTTATTTAATGATCTCAAGTAACTTTGTTATTTTTTTTCCCTTCCTATAGAGCATATCATGTCCCAAGTGGGAAAATATTAGCTGTAAAGGTAAGTGCTAAATACATTTTATGAAATGCTCATTGCTTTCCTTTCCCCTTTTGACTTGAGGTACAGGCATGCTCAAAGAGGAGATGAAACAGTGTAGGGTTCAGGTGGTAGGTAAAGGAAACTGTGGCCTTGGATCTTGGTATCTTTTAAGTATCCCTTCCAGTGGTTGGTTATAAGCTCTGTGTATTATAGTCCTTCTCTTTAAAAAGAGAACACTTCCTTCTGTGTTGTGGTCTCTGTTGAGTTGTGGTCTTGTCGAGTGGTATCACCCTGTTCCTGATCATACAGTGGACAAGCATAGTAGTCATGCTTTCCTTTTTCTTTATCTGCCATAGCTTATAAATTCCCATATCCTATTAGAATTTTTTCCCAAAATGCAACAGTTTGTCACTTTCTGTTCTCATTCTCATGGCCATCACCTTGGGGATCACTCACATTATCTCCTGCTTGGACTTTTAAAATAACTTCATCACTGTACTTTCAGCCTTTTTCCTCTCTGATGTGCCTTTTGCCCTGCCATAGACTTGAGAAGTCAGATCATAGATCTGACCCTGTAACAGTCTTGCCCCAATCCCTCCATCTTCAACTGTGTACATTAAAAAGCTTTCAATGTCTGCCTTGCTTATGAAATACCAAATACCATGCTTACCATTATAGTCAAGCTGTGTGTAATAACTTAAGAGATGTTGTAGACAATTGCTTAAGGTTTTCCTCAGTTCCTATCCTGTATATAATCTATATGCCATCTGTGCCAAAATCCAAGATCCCAGTCTGTAATGCTGAATTTAATCTCTGGCACTGATGGGTAGGTGCTTGATATTCTCATCATTTTATATCTCAGGTTTCCCTAATGGACTGTTATGAATCACACCTGTGACTGAGCACTTTGCAAACTTAAGTGTTAATCCCACAGAACCACCCTTTCAACTCTAGGCTCTTAGCTAACAAATTGGTCAGGCCCTCTGCAGATTGGTCCCTACCTGCCTTTACACACATGTCCTCTGCTTTACCAGTTTGTTACTTCCTGCCATGCCCTGATTTCCAGGTTCTGGCCCTTTAGTAATAAAAGCTTTTATTTTTTGAGTGATCACTATATGACTGGTATTATGCTTTGGGTTTTATAACTCTGTAATCCTTAAAACAGCAGAAATTCTATTTTAGATTCAGGGCAACTGAGACTCAGAAAGCTGAATTGTCCAAGGTCAAAAAGTTAGAGGAGGAAGGGTTAGGATTTAAAATGTCCATCCAACTCTAAAGCTCATACCCTCTACTATACTGTGCAGCCTTAATGCAAGCTACTACCTTTGCTTATCCCTGTTTTCCATCCATCCTTTCAAGGTTCATCTCCAGGCTGCCTTTGTAGTACTGTCCACAACAAGACATTGGTGTTTTTCCCTGACACTTACATAGTTTATAGTTCTGTATCTTTTATCTTTTCTTTCTGTATCTTTTATCTTAAGGAAACTAAACATAAGGGCAATTATGTTATCATTGTTATATCTTTTATTAAAGTTAAGCTAAAACTTAGACTCAGATCTTCTGACTGCTAGTGCATTTCAGAGATCTATTCCATGTCACACCTAGCATAGTACCTAGAACATGCTATGTGGCATCATGAAGTCCAGTTTTAGACTAGACTTTAGTTTTAATAACTTAATAACTTGTGATGAAGTAGTACAACAGTGTTCACTCTTGGGATTCTTTCTTTGATACTCCAACCAAACTAGTTCCACAGAATTATAGAATTGGAAGCAACCCTAGAGGTCATCTGTTGTAGTCCCACGTTTTACAGAAGGAGACAGAAGTGTGGAGAGTTCCCAAGGTAGGCATTGTCAGGCAGTTCTCTCCCAGTCTTCCCCTGAGCTCACCCAGCATAGCTCTGTGGACCGGCTTGACACTGCATTGCCTTTTATGTGCTTCCTGAGCTCCCTGTTCACTAATGGAACACTCCTGCCTACTTGAGCACTGTTTTCCTATCTATTCAGTTGTTGGTTTGTTCCTTTGGACAGTCAAATATAGATTATTTATTCCAAGAGAGAGGAGCACCACTATAGATTACCCAAAAACCTATCATTATTTGGTCTTGCAAGTTACATTATAAATTTTTCATAATTTCACACATTTCAAAAGCATAGGCTAATAATAAAATTTTTATGCACAATTACTTAGTTGAGAATGGCAAGGGGCCAATAGCTGTTTTTGCAAAGTATTAGATAGATAGATAGATAGGCTGGAAATATATACAGATAGATATAGATGTATCTATTTATAAGTATATTGGCTGTTACAGGGTTCCAATTCAGGTCCTCCTGCTTGCTAGCAGATTCCTGACCACTTTAGCGCCATGCTCTAACTCTTTTTTGCTTTAGTTCTTTCTTTGGGTAGGGTCTCACATTTTTTATTTTTATTTATTTAATTTTTTAGTTTCCAAGTATTTGGAGATTTTCCAGTTATCTTTCTGTTACCAGTTTCTAATGTATTCCCATTGTGGTCAAAGAACTTACTTTTTTTTTATAATTGGGATTATTTTAAATTTATTAAGGCTTATTTTATGGCTCAAAATACTTTTTAACAGTTTTTTTATTACTGTACATTAATTATACAAAGGGGTTTCATTGTGATATTTCTGTAAATACATACAATGTACTTTGACCAAATTCACTAGCTCTGTTATATTGACTCCCTTCCTTCTCCTCCCTCTTTCAAACAGTATTGAGTGAGTTTCGCTGTTTTTTCATATGTATATACACAGTATATAAATGTAATGTACTTTGATCACGTTCACTCCCCAGTACCCTCTCCTTTCCCCTTCTCCCTCTGCTGATTCCTACCCAGAGACAGCCCCTTTATGCTCATGTTCCATTATTATTACTATTATTATTTTCATCATCATCATCATCATCTTTCTAGAACTAGATTCTATATATGAGTGAAAACATGGTTTCTGAGCTTGGCTTATCTTACTTAACATGATGATCTCCAGTTGCATCCATTTTTCTGCAAATGATAATTTCATTCTTCTTTAAGGTTAATTAATATCCCATCATATATCTATATCTCTATATATATCTCACATTCTCTGTGTATTCTTTCATTGTTGGGCACCTACTCTAATTCCATAGTTTGGCTATTGTGAATAGTGCTGCAATAAACAGTGTGGAGGTATTTTTCTTGTATGTTGACTTACACTCCCGCAGATACATGCCCAAGAGTGCTATGGCAAGGTCATAAGGTAGGTTCATTTTTAGTTTTTTGATTAAACTCTGCACTGATTTCCATAGTGATAGCACTGATTTACATTCCCACCTATAGTATTAAAGGGTCCTCCCTTCTCCCTGCATTTCCCCAGCATTTGTTGTTTGTTATCTTGATGATAGTCATTCTGACTGGGGTGAGATGAAATCTCAGTGTTGTCTTAGTTTGCATCTCTTTGTGGCTAAGGATATTGAACATCTTGGTAAATGTTCCCTGTGCACATGAAAACAATGTATTGTCCAAAGGACATAGAGGGTGTTGTATAAACAGCAATTATCTTGTGTCTTTACTGATTTTTTTCTACTTGTTCTATCAATTAGAACAATTGATAGATAGGGGTGTTGAAATCTCCAGCAATAATTGTGCCTTTATCTATTTTTCTTTATAGTCCTATCATTTTTTATTTAATGTTTTCAAAAGATGTATCATTAGGTACAAATAGGGTTGTATGCCTTTTGATGAATTGGTGCCTTTATTATTATGAAGTGACCCTCTTTGTCCATAGTAATATTCTCTGCTGTGAATTCCACATTGTCTGGTATTAATATAGCCACTCCAGTTGTATTTTGACTAGTGTCTGATGTGATGATCTCTGCTTTTGTAACATTGTATTGGGATAATTTACATTTCATGTGATTATTGATACAGTTGGATTCAATTTTATCATTTTTCTCTTCTTTTTCTATTTGTTCTAGCTGTATAGCTGCCATCTTTCCCCACATTTTTAGTGGTTGCTTTAGAGTTCAATACATTTTTAACTTATTATAGTCTCCCCATGTAAATAAAACTATCCTACTTTATTGTCTGAGAACCTTGTAACAGTACCCTTTCATTTCCTGTGTCCTGGCCTTTGTGTTATTTTCATGCATTTTACTTCTTTCTATGTTATAAACTCCAAAATGCAGTTACTATTTTTATTTTAGACATTTATCTTTTAATTAAAAATAGGACTGGCACAGTAGCTCAAGTGGTAGAGCACTTGCACAGTAAGTTCCCTGAGTTCAACCCCCCAGCACTGCCAAAAGAAAGAAAGAAAAAAATGTACTTTATATTTATCCATGATTTACCAATTCCAGTGCTTTTCATTCCTTTGTGTGATTTAGATTTCCTTCTGGTATCAATTTCCTTCTGTCTAAAGGACCTTCTTTCTTTTACATTTCTTATAGTACAGATCTCTTGGTAATGAATCTTTTTTAGTTTTTGTATATTGGAAGCTATGTATTTCATTTTCATTTTTGGAAGGCATTTTTATTTTCACAAGATATAGGACTCTAGATTGACTGCTCTTCTCTTTCAGATTTTAGAGAGTTTGTTTCACTGTTAGCTTTGTTTGCCATCCAGAAGCTTGCTGTCATTTTTTTATCTTTCTTCCCCTGTATGTTAACACTGGTTTCTTCTCTGTGTACTTTTAATATATTTTTCTTTACTGTAGTCTTAAGCAATTTGATTATGATGATGTAATTTTTTTCTTCTCTCTCTCTCTCTCTCTCTGTCCCTCCCCTCTCCCCCTCGTTCCTTTCCTTCCTTCTTTCTTTCCTACTTTCTTTTTTATATTGTGGTAGTGCTGGCCATTGAATCCAGGCCCTTGTACATGCTAGGCAAATGCTCTACTACTGAGCTATCTTCTAGCCCATGATGTGAATCTATGGGTTTTGTTTTTTTTCTTTTTTTTTTTTGGTGGTATTGGGGTTTGAATTTAGGGCCTTATGCTTGCCAGGCAAGTGCTCTACCACTTGAGCCATGCT